TCTTCTTCTTCTTCTTCTTTATCAGAGTAGAGATAGAGGTAACTGCAGACATTGTTTGGACACGGCCTTCTGCCTTATTGGACACGACATTCAGATCGGACTTACACTCTACATTGGGATTGAACTGTGTGCGACATTCGGAGATCAGACTTGGGTTGGACTTGGCTACCTCTATGTCCCTCCCCCTTCTCTCTCGCATGTCTATGGATGTCTCCCCATGTGTGTGAGCGGAAGGGCAATCTTTCTGGTGTCTTGCCCTTCCGAAGTTTCTCCCTTTCATGTTGTTGTCCAMGTGTCCTTTGATACTAGATCTTCCGCTGCGCTGCTTCCCAGCCTATGATGATGATGATACGAATGTGTTGTTATTGATTTCCCGTTGTTTCACTCTTTGCGTGGCGCACATTGACACCTTGTGAATGTTGCACCTATGCTGCTGGTTGTTGCCACTTCCGTCATTGCTAGATCCTAGGCTTTCAATGCATTTCACTTTCTGATATGTTACATCAGACCAGACCAGACGGGACCAGATCAGACCAGACCTGACGGGACCAGATCAGAGTGGACTTAGACTAGACTAAATGAGACCGGACCCAGACCAAAACAAGACCAGACCAGACCAGACGAGGCCAGACCAGAACAGACCTCAGGTCAAACCAAGACCAAGTACAGGGCCAGATGCTCACTCGAGTGAGCCAAGGCGACGTCTTTTCCTACACCCGAGTGAGCTTCAGGTCGCGGACTCAGATCAAGAAACGGCCCCCAATGGACCCGCGATGCTACTTTGGGCTCGGAGGGCTCTAGTACGAACCCCTAGGACTGACGGAGCGGTACCAACAACAACTCATTGATCGCGGGATCCAGCGAAGAGTTCCGACATGTTCGGTCGCAACACAAACTGCACACTTGAACTGGCGTGACGGAGGTTGTCCGTGACTGAGTAAAACAATATTCTCGTTCTTTCGGCATTTTCGTGAGTCGTCCAGTTCACACCTTGTTTTCGTATCTGACTCAGTGGTGGATCTTGCAGGTTACAGGAGCCCCGATCGACCCTCGCGTGGGTGACAAACACGGTACGAGGGACAGGGTCCGACTGGCGTGCCGGCAGATCACTTCTACCGGTTGACAGTGGCGCCGTTGCCGGGGAAGGCTGCCTCTCGGGACTTCGGTCCGCCTGTAACCGCAGAGGCGAGGTGGTCGTTAGTGATCAAGGCATCCAGCTTTATTATTCACGTCGGTGTTGTTTATCTTGGGAATGCGAAGGAGCGTTGAGGAGAGAGTGCGGCAGCCACTCGCAGCCCGACCCTCTCGACACTGGTGAGATATTGTGATTATTGCATTGCAGCATTTATGTTCTTATGGGCTTCCTCTTGCATGATTTTGCGATTGAGCGTGATTCTCTTCTGATTTCCCTACCCTTTGACAATCCACTTGATTCATATCTCTTTGAGTGAAAATTGTGAGCAGGGGATGTATCGGAGGGATTGAAGGGGAGGGGAGAAACGCCCCGGATCTCAAGGAGTTGGGGGGAATAGATAGGCTAGCTGATCCGATTGCTAGCAGGAGGTCTAATTATGATAATGCACAGTGTCGAGGGTAAGCGTCCCGGGTAAATCCATGTCTGAGGTGGGTCGAGTAGAGACATGGTACCGGATAAGATTGCACGAGGGAGATACCACCGTTCCGTGAGCGTGTGACTTTGGTCCGACCCTATAGCGCACGAGTTGGCCCGGCTCACGTCAAGGGATTGCTCTCGGGATCGGTAGGCCAGGGGATCAGCCTCTCTTTCGGCTGGGGGTAGGAGGAGATACGCCAGAGGGCGGTTCTCTTTTAGGCCTGTTGACGTCGTCTGGAATATAGGTGAGTCCAGTGAAGGCCTGTCGTGGGGATCTATGAGCTTATCAGTCGGGTTGGGCTACACAACGTCTTAGGAAGTGAACTTCCATCTTTTCATTGATTAGTTGGATCGACGGAGGGTTGGGGAAGAAGCACTGGAGAGTTGTGGAGATAACTTATCTTTCGGAGATAGGAGTGAACGTAATATTCATGTGAGTAAGATGGGGGTGGAAAGTTCTGATGGAGGAGAAAGGATGACGACAGGGATAAGAGAAAGGTGGAATCTTGAGTATGAAGGCAGACCACCTCATATGAAGGCAGCAACCGGGAGGGATAAAGACATAAGATCTACTGAAGGACAGTCGTATGTAGGAATCCTTGGAGAAGAGACTCAGCGAGAAGGACGATATGAACCACCATGGTCCATATTCTATGGGATACAGACAGTTATACGGTCCTTTGTTCTACCAACCACCGGATTTCAGTCAGACACTTTATTTCACTGGGCATCGGGTAACAAAATTTCTGAATGACTGGGAAGTTTATGCCTTCAGAGCAGGATGGACTGATCGGGAAGCAATAATGGGATTCATTAATCACACCGATCTCAAACTAGACAAAAACGTGCGTGCTGCTATACCCGAGAATTGGAAGTGGGCGACTTTCAGACAACGATTGTCTCGAACCTTTGCTTACGACGATATCTCGTACTCGATCGAGGACATAAAGAAGATGAAGGAGGAAGGAGAGACGTTAGAGACGGCATCTGAACCATTGATAGAAAATGGGTTTCTCGGTGAGATAGAACAATGCGATATATTCATAGGGACTCTACATGTCGAGAGAAGAGAGTTTGTTATGGAGAACATGCCCACTAAAGGGGTGACGTTCGCTCAGACAAGGGCATTGGCTTTGCAGACTGGGGGACCGGATGCCAAAGCTCATCTACTTGAGGTGTTGGAGAAACTAGGGAAAGGAGTACCCGGAAGTCATTTAGAAAAACAATTCGGTGATGAGGATGGAAGAGAGTTCATGTCGCCTGATAAAGGTAAAGTAAGTAGAGATAGAGGGGAATGAAAAAGAGGAAACCGCGGCGACTGGAAGAACGACGACGATAAGGGATTTCAAGATAGGGGTTGGAGGAGTAGAGAAAAAGAGGAAAAACGAAGGAGATCATATAGCGAAGGATGGGAAACGGTCGAGGAGATTGAAGCCCTAAGGGATGAACGAGAAAGAATGAAGAGAATGAAGGATGTCTCACCTCGCAAGAGCGCGGAATTGTTGAGATTCCCTTACAACAAGAGCCTCAGGACAGACGGCGGAAAAACCCTGAGAAAACCGTCGAGCTGAATGAGAGAAAAAAGATCAAATGCGCAAATGATGAGAAAGATATATCATGCGGACCTTCTACGAAGATGAATACTGACGTTAAAACATGAACAACCCAGGAGGTGATTCAGGAAATTCATGGAGAAATTTGGGTGCAGAGTATCAGGTTTGAGGAGAACCGGAATACTGAAGAGAATGAGGAGGAAAATACACTCTGCCGAACTTCTACGGAGATGAATATTGGCATTAAAGCGAGGACAGCGGAAGAGCCAGAGCAGGGAGAGTTTTGGGTATCAAGTATCCGGTTTGAGGAGGACCCAAACCCGAATGATAGTTTGACGGTTGGGGTTTCCAGTATTCGGTTCGAGAGTTGCGAGGAGGATTCTGATGCTGCTCTAGTGTGTGCTAAGAAAGTGAGTGAGGAATCAGATGAAAATGAAGCCGATAATACTAGCCTTGATAATAAAGTATCGCCGAGGGGCGAAGGACCGAAGGTTATTCAGGAAACATGGGTAGATCGAACCATGACAATGAAGATGATAACGATAGATGAAGAACACAAAGACTTGAAAAGTGTTGAAGATGCCCAAGACGAGTTGATAGGGGATCAATATGGAAAAGATCTCCTCGGCGAAGTTTTGGGCGCAGAAATTTCACAAGCATTTGAAGTCATGAATGAGCTGGACGATAACTATGGACTTACTCGACTGTTTGAGACCGTCGAGCCAGACGACATCTATGGGCTTGTTCGACTGTTTGAGACCGTCGAGTCTGACGGCAGATATGAGCTTGCTCAATTATTTGAGACCGTCGAGTCGGACGTCAGCTATGAGCTGACTCAACTGTTTGAGAACCCCGATCTGGACACGAGTTGTAAGCTTGCCCAGCCATTTGAGTCTGTAGACCCGGATGTCGGCTACAAGCTGGCTCAATTTTTCGAGACTGTCGAGTCGGACGTCAGCAATGAGCTGGCACAACTGTTTGGGGCCATCGAACATGATGACGATTACGACTTAGCTCAAGTTTTTTATGCCTTCGAACCGGATATCGACTATGGGCTTACCCAACTGTTTGAGGCCGTCGATAAGTATGAAAACGATGTTGAGAACTCTCTCAAGACAACAATGGGCCGTAATCTGGCAACTACGAAAGATATCGAGGACTCCCGAATGGATCAATGCAAGTTAATAAGTCTGATGTGATGAGTATTGGTGGTGAATTCGTTGAGGACTGTTTGGGGAGTAAGCAGAATGATAACCCACTCGCGTTTGACCAAGAAGGTGAAGAAAGGACCATGATGGAAGTGAAACTTGTTGCGGGTGCCGACAGTCCGGGCAAAAACTTATAAAACACAAATTCAACAATTTTCAGGGGACAGGCTGGGCAACGACAACGGGGGCCGAATCGCCTTCATCAAGTGGGAGGGTGGTGGCGCCCAGGAAGGTAACAACACAGGTATCGAGGAAGGCAACCAGGGGACGATCAAGAGAGTATCACATCTGCTTCAAAGATTGGACAACGGTGGATCAAAGGATCCCACTGCGGCCACCCTCAGACTTTCCCTATCCCTTCCCTCCCCATCACCTGACCATAGTCGACATGCAATGGTACAGAGCGATGTGAGCAGGTCAGCAGCAGCATCAATAAAGGGTAGTGCAAAGTGGGGGGAGGGATGGACCAGTGTGTAGCAACAGGTCTCTGTCGCCTGTCTCAGGGTGAAGAGAGGCTCCGCTCCCCCCCCCCCCCCCCCCATTCATCCTGCTCAGTCAATCCCCTGGATCCGAGGGTAATCAATGCTGGCAAGAATATCCCGCATCTGTGTTGTTCTGATTTCTGAATTCTGTCCATGTATTCGATGCGGGACCCATTTTTCTTTCAAAAACAAGTATACCATGCTGGACCCATTTTCCAGCACAGCAGGTGTTGCTCCCCACCAATAGATGGAGCCTCCCCCCAGGTGCTACCGGTGTCTGCTCGTACCAGCACCACTAGCACTGGTGGGGGCGTGTTAAACAAAAAAACAAAAAAAAAATCACTGATCAATGCATTGCAATAACAATCATCCATCAACGCATTGCAATAACAGTCACTTTGTCTACCTATTAGAATAATTGTATTTATGATTATTGATTTGTTTACTTATTTTCCTCCTACGAATTGGCGGAGATCAATTATCCATTGGCTGGTGCTGCCACCCATTTTGCTCCGGATGCTGAGCTCCATAAGCTGCAGCGCTTTAATGCCCCAGACTGAAAGCATGGGGCGGGCCCAAGTACTGGTGGTTAAATGATGATACCTCAAGGCCATTGCCCTGTCCTTAAAAAAAGAAAAGAACAGAAAAGAGAAATAAAGAAGGAAAGAAAGAAACGAAAAGAAAAGAAAAGAAAGACTGACTCACCTTGTCAGTGCTTCTCTCTCTCTCTCTCTCTCTCTCTCTCTCTCTCTCTCTCTCTCTCTCTCTCTCTCTCTCTCTCTCTCTCTCACACACACACACACACACACACACACACACACACACACACACACACACACACACACACACACAGAGGCAACATTCACTCACCCATGAAAGCGAGAGAGAGAGAGAGGAAAGGTGGGACGGCAGGAAACTCATCAACGCGACGCATTGCACTTTTCGAGCGCTCTCTTCCGATGGTTTCTCTCACTCTCACCAATACACACAGGAAGTGTGAGCACACATGCACCTGAGAGAGAGGCAGGTCTCACATTCCCCCTGATTCAATGTCTAATCCTCCTCACCTCTGCCATCAACCAAATCAACCAAACTAGATCCCACCAAATCCATCAATCAATCAACCAGCCAATCAATCAATCAAGCCAATTCACATCGATCAAATCGATTCAACAGCTGAATCAAAAAGATCAATCGTATCAATTAATCAATCAATAATATGGCTTTGCAATCTGCTTGATCAGGCCAATCTATTGAATGAAAGCACACACACACACACATGGGATTGATTTCCATTATATGGCGGGGAGAGAGTAAGGKGGGGGKGGGGGGCAACTGCTGGGGGAAGAATGGGGACCACACCCCCACATTCAAAATAAGGAAAATCCAAACAAAGAGCTTATCAGTAAAATCTTGAAAGGATCAGATTGTACGCTACTAAAAGAGAGCGATTAAAATCTGCATTTCGCCTAAGGCAGCTTTTTGTTGCCCGAACATTCCCCTACACTCCGACGACCCAAGTTGGGAACTTCAGGCTCAGCCCAACGTTGGTTTCGCCGCAACAGCAACAGGCCGATGTCTGGTACATGTGCCGCAGCGCCCCACCCAATCGATTACCATCACGCAAATCAAGAAGAAAACCCAAGTACGTCCTTCAGAGCAGTTAGTGAGGCTTTCCTTCCACTGCGCTGACAGACCACACTGCTGTGTCGAGCACATGCGCTCATGGGCCCGTCCTGTCTATGACCATCAGGCAAACCAAGAAAAAATACTTCCAGTCCCTATGCAATGCCTACAGAGCATTCAGACTTACTTTCCACTGTCCGCATGCAATACTTTCCACTGTCCGCATGCAATGGGTGCTCAGGGAACTCACAGCTGAGGACCGAAAAAGAACTAGGCCCCAAGCTCCACAACAAGAAGACCGCACTTGTCACTCCAAGGACGGCGCCCTTTTTCTTTCGGGCAATTGAGAATTTCAATCATTGCATTTCATTCATCTAGTTCCAGCTGGACTCGAACCCCAGGTCTGCATTTCAAACAGACCATCGGCGTACCGACTGAACTTGGCCCATTTCTTATTACAGATCCATACAGCCGTCACAACAAACAGAATCTTCACCACCGTTCTCTACAAATGCAAGGCGTCAAAGAAGGTCAACCAAAAAAAAAAAGGATTTCAAGAGCAGATGAGAAACGACGACGTCATATCCTTCTGGCTGGCCTCTGGCCATATCAGCTGACAGCCGTCCGATCGACCCTCGGATATTCTGCCAAGATCAAGAACACTGGGTAGGGAGGCCTCAGGACTTCAGACATACACCTAATCTCCTGCCCCATGGCGCGGCACCAGGCCCTGCCATCGAAAGGCCCAGATCGCCACCGAGATGTGGCAAAGATCAGAAGAAGACAATAAATGATCGAATAATCTCAAAAAGTGTGTGAAGCCTGGGAAGGGAGGCCCCATATTCCGTATCGTCCACCTGCCCAGGACTTGCCGCCACGAGTTACTTCACACACTTGGAGAAGAAGCCCGATTGCCTGCGGATCCCACTGACAGTCCAACATCTGTGTTTGTACGGAATAACAAAGACGCCATAAAAGCGAAAGAGAGAGAATAGGTTTGGCAGGGACCACAAATGCCCCAATGCTTCAGACATAGCAATGACTATAATAATGTGGCGGCGTTGTGGCCTTTTTTGTTCGACTGTCGGATTATGCGCTCAGACACAGCACTTGTCCTATTCCAAACGGAAGGGGTAGGGACAACTTATTCTTATCACAAATGATTTGGGAGGGACATGCAGGTAACTGTATATCCGTCTGGACTCAACACGTTTGAGGCAGGGAGAGAAAAGGGGAGGGAGGGGCAAGGAGGCTGCTGCCGCACAACAGCACCCTCCTCCTCAAGGTGGACAACGGCGGAGAGGCAGAGTGTGAAGGAGAGGGGCAGTAAATGGCAGAGACCCAGCACATGGCGGGGAGAAGCAAAGCAGGGCAGGGCAGAGACAGACTACTAAGTTGCCTTTTAGTGGCATGCCCCAGAAAGCCCAGGAGAGATCTACAGCAGAGTAAGCATTACCCATGCTAATAGTTTTTCATAACTTTTACTGTTTGCCGTACTAGTACTGAACCTCTCAACGGCGCGCAAACCAAACTTCTCCAAACCTCTTCCTTGGCGGTAGCCAAACACACAAAAGGTCAAAACAACGCGACTAGAATTGGCCAGAAGATTTTGAGGTGTGTTCACAAAAATGGCAGCCTACCAACGTCTGTCTACGTCAAATAGAAACCAGCAGTGAATAGCAATAAAACCCCTAATAATGCAGGCACCGAGAATGGGAGGGGAGGCGACGGGCAAAAACAAAAGAGCAAAAGAATAATATTGGAAAAGAAAAATCACGCTGCCTTTTTCGCACGATCAGGACAGGCTTCACAGGGATTAGGATTCATCTTCCACTGGACTTGTAACAACTACACCCTCTCCATTGTCCACATTTTCATAGTCGTCCTCCCCAAGGTACCCTTTTTGAGTTACATACGGACCCTCGAGGTCTTCCCCTCCGTGCGCTTGCCCCTCACGCTCTTCCTGCTCATCATGGCCGTTTTCTGCCAGTCCTGCTGCATTTTCGAGTTCCGCCCTAATCTGGGCGATAGGGTCACGTAGCATACTGTCTGCCAGCTCCAGATATGCAGAAGCATGAGGTAGATCCAGAGAGGACAATTTGAAATGCTCCTGCGCTTTCAAGGCCCACTCAAAATTGGGAAAAAGATTTGGGTACTCTCCAGGATCGGCAAGCGATTCCGCCGCTTTCTGATTCACCTTGCTAAGATCGTTGTGCCACAGATGGACAACCTCAGACACCATGCTGGGAGCATACGTTCTGGCCATAAAAGCCGCCTCCGGAATGCGGCCACTTGCACACAAAAGCTTGACACAATCCTCCACTCTGCCCAACAGGAACAAGCTCATAAAAGCTATGTTGCTCTTTCCCTGCTCTTTCGCAGTCCGTGCAAGCTCCTCCATGTCCTTGGCATTCCCTATTGCCGTCGCCAGCAACAGCAGGCCGCTTAAGTCGACCGCATGGCGCAGGCATTTCTGTGCGACCTCAAACTTCCCCGCCGCCATCGCCAGCTCTCCCAGCTGTCTCCATTTCGCCTCGCTTTTCAGTTCCTCCGCAATCTCGCGTGCGCAATCCAGGTTGCCCAGCTGCATCGCCAGATCAAACTTGTAGTCAGGGTCCGTTGCAATCTGCAGAGCATCCTCGAGCAGCTCCCGCGCCTCCAGAAACCGCGCCACGCTGTTCCAGTTGGACTTGGGTATCGTGGGCAGAACTGCGGCGGCGCCCTCCAGGTCACCCCGAAGAACAAGCGTCTTGTACTGGATCAAGCTCAACAAAAGTGTGTAGCTCACGACGTTGAATTCCTTGTCGATGAGAAACACTCTGCTGTGACTCGACAGGTACCCAAGGAGGTACATCGGCCGGTCCAGGTGGAACATGGTCGTCACTTCTCCGCCCACGCAGTAATTAAGATGCAGCTGAGAATTGTTGTAAATGAAGCAATCGCCGACCCAGACGCCAGTGATCACTCGCTCAGGCACCTCATGTAGGAGCTCGAAGGCATCCTCGATTCCGTCCTCGTCCACCGTCTTTCCCGAGTCCAAGTGTGCAGTGACCACGTCCCGATGGAACTTCAAGATGAAGAAGCTGTCATCACAAATAATGGTCAACAGCTCCTCGTTGTCCGCCCACAGAATGTTCTTCACAGCAACGTCGATGCGGCGGACCACCCGGCACTCCGACCAGTCGTAGAAGCAGACAAAATCGTTCGATCTGACAGCCAGCAGGGCACCGCCAAAGAGGCCCTCGGCAGAAAAGGTGGGCCGCATGCTCTTCCGTTCCTGAAAGGACTTGCTGAAGATCCTGATCTTCGACGTGCTCTCCCGCACGGCGTACTCACCCTCCGTCGACCAGACAAAGTCCAGCGCCGAGCCAAAGGACCGATTCCTCCAGGCAAGCGCAGTGTAAATGATGTACTCCCCGTCCCCGCAGACAACGACAAATCGTCCGTTGGGGTTATGCTTGAGGCTCTGCGGGTAGAGATCGCAGCTCCCGAGCTCTTTCACTGCCAGAGGCAATCGTTCCCCGTCGTTCATCTCCACCTCTGCGCCGACAGACTTGATGTTGACAGTCTGTATCTCGTTGTGCTTCGCCCACACCACCTTACCACTACCATCCATGCTGGCCACGGGTTCCTCCCTCCCCATCCTTATCATCACCGTGCCTTCATCGTAGCCAATGGCAACCTTATTACACCCCTTGAGGGCACCGATGGTCCAGACACGCTCAAGGCCATAGTTCAGGGTGTTCTCCAGCCTGTAAGTGGAGGCGTGCCACACGCGTAAAGTGCCATCCTCCGAGCCAGTGATGATGACAGGCAGCTCCGGATGGAAGCAGACAGCAGAAACGTTGTGCGAGTGGCCTTCGAGCGTCTGCACGCAACTCTTGGTCTGGTAATCCCACACTTTGACAAGCTTGTCGTCGGCGCCCGAGATCAGGTGCGGTCGATCGCCACCACCGAAGTAGTCCAGACAATTGACACCCTTTTCGTGGCCCTCGAGCGTGAAGTTGGGATCGGAATTGCCCAGACTCCAGACCTTGATGGTTCGGTCCAACGAGGCCGAGGCGAAGGTGTTGGTGTCCTTCGGGTTGAAGACCACCTGCATGACGTAATGGGCATGCCCCTCGAAGATCTGCGTGCACATCCACCCCCTGTCCCAGTCCCATAACTTGATCAGCATGTCATCCGAGGATGACAGCACATAGGGCAACGTGGGGTGCACGGCAACACATCGAATGTAGTCCGTGTGAGCCTCAAAGGTCTTGACTTTGTCCGAGGTGTTGTAATTATAGACTCGGATAAACATGTCGTCCGAGCCGGCAATAACCCACTCCTTCCTGGCGATGAACTTGGACGAACGGACTGGGAGGTCCGTGACCTCAAAGGACTTGACCAAGGTCTGGGTTTGGTAGTTCCACAAATACACGTTGCCATTGTAAAGACTTGCCAAAATCCATGGCTCCGATGGATGGAGGTCGACGCTCTTTACGCGATCGGAACGCTGGGCGAGTTCCCGCTTGATCTCCAGACGAAGCGGCATCCTCGCTCAATCAGTGAGAACAACCGCCTGCTGCCCCAGACTGCACGAAATGCACAAAAACAACCACCAAGCAGATTCACTCACCTGACTAAGTCCATCATTCCTTGTACGGAAAGAAGGGGGAGGGCGAGGGAAGGGCCCGCGGGGGGAAGGGGGGGGGATAGGGCCGCGGGGGAAGGCAAAGGGGACGAAGGAAAGGGGGGGAAGGGGAGGGAAGAGGGGGAAGGGAGGGGAGGGAAGGGGGGGAACGGGGGGGAGGGAAGGAAACGCGGGGAGGGGGGCCGCCAGGGGGGCTAGCGCCCTCACAATGTGTTTTTTTTTGTTTTGTTTTTTTAAACAAGCTAGTTAGTTTTGCCCGCAAATACTTAGTTTTGCGCCTTAACAAGGTGATTAACTTCGGTTTTGAAGCCCTAACAATGTAATTTACTTTTTTTTTTTAATAACACAACAAGGGCGACTTAGAGAGCCCTAACAACCCCATTCCGTCAGGGTTCGAACTCGTGATCGATTTATTAAACAGTAGGTACATAGGTGTGTAGAATTCAGCCACGTGGGCAGGGTACCGACCACCAAAACGATTATCTCACATAGTTTGTTTGTTTGTTTTTTCAAAGAAAGGGCCCACGCAAATAGGCAAGGTACCAACCACACAAGGCAATCATCTTATCCTTTTTGTGTGTATCAAACGAGGAGAGCGGCACCCTCACAGCCGCACAAGGGATTCGAACTCGTGATGATCTGTTTAGTAATGGGTGTACCACTCAGCCGCACAGGTTAGGTTAAGTAGGCCGACCATGTTACTTGGCAATTGATTAATTAATTGAGCAAGGAAAGGACATCTTCTTTTTTACTTTCCCGCTGCTGCAAATAGCACAGGACTCCCAACGCCACTAAGAGCGTTATTACAGTATCATTGCTTAGTTCCGCAAAAAAGCAGAATTTCAATCCAGGCAAACCAAAAACCGAAAAAAAAGCAGGCTCTCTGTTGCACGTAGCATAAAACCCCGAACACCACCATGGTTGTTACGCCC